TTTTTTTTTTTTTTTTTTAATGTTTATTTACTTTTGAAAGAAAGAGCAGGAACAGGGGAAGGACAGAGAGAGAGGGAGACATAGAATCTGAAGCAGGCTCCAGGCTCCAAGCTGTCAGCACAGAACCTGATGTGGGGCTCAATTCCACAAACTGCGAGATCATGACCTGACTGAAGTTGGATGCTCAACTGTGACTGAGCCACCCAGGCACCCCAGATTTTGTTTGTTTCTCTGTTGTTCATTCTGGTGGCTTTAGGCTTTATTTGCTATTCCTTTTCTAGCTCCTTTAGGTGTAAGGTTAGGTTGTATATTTGTGACATTTCTTATTTCTTGAGGTGAGCTTGTATTACAGTATACTTCCCTGTTCAAATTGCCTTTGCTGCATCCCAAAGGTTTTGGACCGTCATGTTTTCATTTTCATTTGCTTCCATGTATTTTTTAATTTTTTCTCTAATTTCTTATTTAACCCATTCATTCTTAAGTAGGATGTTCTTTAACCTCCATGTATTTGAGGGCTTTGCAAATTTTTTCTTGTGGTTGATTTCAAGTTCCATAATGTTGTGGTCTGAAAATATGCATGCTGTGATCTCGATTTTTTTGTACTTGTTGAGGATTGATTTGTGATGCAGTATGTGATCTGTTCTGGAGAATGTTCCATGTTCATTCAAGAAGAATGTGTATTTTGCTTTAGGATGAAATGTTCTGAATATATTTGTTAAGTCCATCTGGTCCAGTGAGTCATTCAAAGCCATTATTTCCTTGTTGATTTTCTGCTTGGATGATCTGTCCATTGCTGTAAGTGGGGTGTTAAAATTCCCTACTATAATTCTATTATCAGTGAGTTTATGTTTGTTACAATTGATTGGGTACCTCCAAGTTGGGAGCATAAATATTCATAATTGTTAGATATTTTTGATGCATAGACTCCTTAATTCTGATATAGTGCCTTTCTTTATCTCTTGTTACAATCTTTGTTTTAAAATCTATTTGTCTGATATAAGTGTGGCTACTCTGCCTTTCTTTTGACTTCCATTAGCATGATAGATGATCCTCGATCCCCTCACATTCAGTCTGCACGTGTCTTTAGGTCTAAAATGAGTCTCTTGCAGAGAGCATATAGATGGATTGTGGGGTTTTTTTATATATACATTTTGATACCCTGTGCCTTTTGATTGGAGCATTTAGTCCATTTACATTCAGAGTGATTATTGGTAGATAAGAATTTAGTGCCATTGTGTTACCTATAAAGTTGGTGTTTCTGGTGATGTTCTCTGTTCCTTTCTAATCTTTGTTGCTTTCGGTCTCCCACTCAAAGAGTCCCGTTTGATACTTCTTGCAGGGCTAGTTTAGTGGTCATGAACTGTAATTTTTGTGTTTGAAGCTCTCTCTTTTATGAATGACAGCCTTGCTGGATAGTGTTCCTAGCTGCATATTTTTCCTATTTAGCATGTTGAGTATATCAAGCCACATTCCTTCTGGCCTGACAGAAGAGATCTGCTGTGAACCTAATCTGTCTTCCCTTGTAGGTTAATGGCTTTTTTCCTCTTGTTGCTTTCAGGATTCTTTCCTTTTCTGTGTATTTTGTGAATTTGACTATGATATTTTTTTATTATGGTCCTGCTTTTGTTGAATTGTTGTACCTCTTGAATTGTGATGTCTGTGTCCTTCCCCAGATAAGGGAAGTTTTCAGTTATAATTTGTTCAGATAAACCTTCTCTCTTTTCCCCTCTCTTCTTCTGGGACTCCTATGATAGGAATATTATTTTGCCTTAAGGCATTGCCTGAATTCTACATCCATGATCCAATATTTTTCTTTTCCTCTTCTTTTCAGCTTCATTATTTTCCATAATGTTTTCTATTACTGATTCATTCCCTTGCTTCATCTGTCCTTGTTGTCATTGCAGCCAGTCTGTTTTGCATCTCAGTTCTAGCTTTTTTTTTTTTCTTTCTTCCTTATTTTTTTAAAATGTCTGTTTAGGGGCGCCTGGGTGGCTCAGTCGGTTAAGCCTCTGACTTCACCTCAGGTCACAATCTCACGGTCCGTGAATTCGAGCCCCGCGTCGGGCTCTGGGCTGATGGCTCAGAGCCTGGAGTCTGCTTCCAATTCTGTGTCTCCCTCTCTCTCTGCCTCTCTCCCGTTCATGCTCTGTCTCTGTCTGTCTCAAAAATAAATAAACGTTAAAAAATAAATAAATAAAATGTTTGTTTATTCTTGAGAGAGAGGGAGACAGAGCACGAGCAGGGGAGGGTCACAGGGAGGGAAACACAGAATGCAAAGTAGGCTCCAGGCTCTGAGCTGTGAGTACAGAGCCTAACATGGGGTTCGAACTCACGAACCATGAGATTATGACCTGAACTGAAGTCGGACACTCAACCGACTGAGCCACCCAGGTGTCCCTCAGTTATAGCATTTTTATTTTCAGCCTGACTAGCTTTTTGTTCTTTTATCACTGCGTTAAGGAATTATCTAGTATCTTCTATGATTTTCTCAAGCCCAACTAGTATCCTTAATGTTGTTATTTTAAATTCTGGTTCAGGCATTTTACCTATATCTCTTTTGATTAATTCCCTGTTCTTTCTCTTCTTTCTTTTGGTGTTAATTCCTCAGTCTTGTCATCTTGTCTAGGTTACTGTTTGTGTGTGTGTGTGTGTGTGTGTGTGTGAGTGAGTGAGAGATTGTTAGGAAAGCCTGCTATAGCCTCCTCCTGAGAGTAATGGGAATGTTAAGAAAAGATCCTATAGTGTTTTGGGCCTGGTGCTTCAGGAGGTGTTTCAGAGTGTGCAGTCTACTGTTGTATTTTGGCTCCTCCTTTCCTCAAGTCAGTTCTTTACAGAGTTTCTCCTTGCCTGCAGTGGAGGGATGTTTGGACCTTGTCCACTGTGTGGCACGTTTTAACTAGGTGTGTTTTGGTCTCCCTGTTAAAAGAACTATACCTCTTTCCCCTAGAACTGAGGCTTTGAAGCATTCTGTGATCAGTAGAGTTGGTGTGTGTGAGAGGTTTGTGCTGGTCTTCTGGGTGAGGGACCTGCTGCGCTGATTCTGAGGCACCTTGCCCAAATGGAGATGCACCTGCAGGGTGCAGGGGGGCAGTACTTGGTGTAAGCAGTCTCTGTTGGGGAGTGCTGTGTAGCTCACTGAAGTGGGTCATGCTGATGGGCAGGGGTGAAGTGGCGTCATCCTGCTCTCTCGTCGTCTTCACAGCAGGGAGTTCGTGCCTGCCATTCTTCAGGAAGCCCTCACAAAAGAGCAAACAATCACCCCTCTTATGTCCCCAACTTCTGTCAGATCCCTGCCTTCACTCTGTGTCCATGCTGTCTGCCTGTCAGTGGCACAGTACTCCTGTGTTTTATTTATCTCAGATGTGTGGCTGAGTTTCAAAACTCCAAATTTTAGAGACCTGCACCAATCCTCTGGGGGAGGGTCTCACCATGCTGTGGCCAGTGGTTTGTCTCAGTAAAGCAGTTGCATGACTGCACAGTGGTTTGTGGTGTATGATAAAGCACAGCAAAAAGCTGGCACCAAGGTTTGCTGCCTTCAGCAGGTGTCTCTATTTCTATGCTAGTGAACAGCTATGCTAGGGCAGCACATTGGCACAGCCAGTTCTTGTACCCTAAGAGGCTGTGCCATCATTCTCAGATGCACTTCAGAAGGGCAACTGTTTCTTCCTGTGTGACCCAGGGCATCCTCAGACTACACTGCCCACTCCCAGGCCTCCACCCTCCCTCCCCACCAGAGCACTGCTAAGGCCACGACCCCAGCAATGGTGGGGACTTCTAAAAGTGGTCAGCCCCTCTCCTTTTCCCAGTCAGTGATGTGGGGAAAGAATTTTTTTGTGCAGTCCTCTCTGCACTATTGCATCCTCTCTTTCTCTCCTTTTCCAGTGTTCAGGGCTCCCTCCCCTCTGCAGCACCTGCTGCTCTTTTCTCCCCCAGATCAATTCTCTGTAGCTCCTACCTTCCACGATATGGCCATTTTTCTACCTGTAGATGTGCAATTTGTTCTCTCTGCCCTAGGATCAATTTCTTGGGTGTTCAGAATGATTTGATATTTATCTAGCTGTGTTTGAGCGACAAGGCAAGCTTAGGGCCCCCTACTTTTCCACCATCTTAACTCTAGTCCTTCAGTTCATCTTTTAAAGCATGGATAGTCATAGGTTGCTGATTAGTCCATAAATTTGCCACCCCTCTGTATTTATAATAGCTAACACATATTCAGCATTTATTAGCCAGGCATTATTCTTAGTAGTTTTACATTTATGTAAAATTGTGTATTGTGTATTCTCACAGTCACCACATGAGGTATGGTTATTAATTTTGTTCTCTGTTGGCGGATAGAAGTCTAATAAAACATGGGGCCTGGGTCTAAGGTCACTCAGCTAATTAAATAGGCAACAGCTTACACTCTTATAAAGAATTTACTATAGTGTCTTTAGTTAGAATTTATTCATTTACAAACTTAAGCAAACAGGAAGTCCGTTTATTCACTAACTTTGAGAATTTCAGGGGTGAATTCTTGCTTCAGGTACATCTAAATTGCTCTCATTTGCTCTTCCTCTTGATACATAACTTGTTTTATTGGTCTGTGCATTCAGTGAATAGATGATGATAAACAGTCTGAGGCCCACATTCACCTAACTTGGCAACTGTCGTGAACAGAGATCTTCCCTCTCCCATCACGAATATATCAATACTAGAAATGACTAACTGTTTTGGGTCATGCTCCCAAACCAGTCTTTATGGTCAGGGGGTAAAATATTGTGAATGGCCCAACCTGATTCAATGTTTCATCTCTTTGGTGATTATGGGGACATGTGATTGATGGCTTCCCCTCACCCCCCAGCACAAAATAGTGCCTTCAAGGAAGAGGTGTGAGCACATAAAGTTACAATGTCCACTACATTTTGAATCAGGTACCCATCTCTTTTCTAATCGGACTGAGTTAGGCTAACAAGGCCAAATCAAAAGAAGAACGGTCTTCAGGTATCAGGGTCATGGATGTAGAATAAGCAGAAAAGAATGCTGGGCTTAGTAGGCACATTGAAAACACCTTGTAAGACGGTAGCTGTAGTTTCCCTCTTTGAAACTCTATTACAGACTTTGCAGGTTCCTCATTTCCCAATCTTACTTATTTTTAAATGCAGGTTACAGCATCAAGTAAAAAGGCACAATCTGATAGTGGCTTCATATGATGTTGTGAGGAATGACATAGATTTCTTTAGGTAAGAATTAAAATTTTTTTCTTTAGAAAAACTTACGAAGAGTGTTAATATTTTCCTGTCTGAAAGACTTTATATAGTTCTTGCAATATATTAAAAGGTGCTAAATTTTTTTCTTTATTCTCCCTTAGAAATATTAAATTTAACTACTGTATTCTTGATGAAGGCCATGTCATCAAAAATGGAAAAACAAAATTGTCAAAAGCTGTAAAACAACTGACTGCTAATTATAGGATTATTCTTTCTGGAACACCAATCCAGGTAATTATTTACTGTTCTCCCCCACTGTTTGCCATGTGGAAAGAAGGTTTGACATTTGGCAGTGAATTAAAGACACGTTTTTCCGCCTGCCTGCTCCCTCCCTCCCTCCTTTCCTTCCTTCCTTCCTCTCTTCCTTATTTCCTTCCTTCCTCCCCCCTTCCTTCCTTCCTTCCTCCCTCCCTCCTTCCCTTCCCTTCCTTCCTTCCTTCCTTCCTTCCTTCCTTCCTCCCTCCCTCCCTCCCTCCCTCCCTCCCTCCCTCCTTCCCTTTCCTTCCTTCCTTCCTTCCTTCCTTCCATTTATAGGAATAAATTCCAGTAGTTCATTTGGTTCATAATGGTTCATTTGGTATGTAATAGCATCTGAGCAAACCAGGTTTTAAAAGCAATATGAAGAGCACTGGATGGTGTATGGAATTTCTGAATCACTATATTGTACAACTGATACTAATACAACACCGCATGTTAACTATACTAGAATTAAAATAGTAAAATGTGATTTTAGGGTATGTAAATAGAAGTCTTGTGTCCAAAATATGGGAAACTAGTCAGACTTTATTCCACACTGGCCATTCTACTTCTGTGGTATTACACCACAGTCTGATTTAATGTTGAAAACTTAGAGCTGATTCATAGGGGAATCATCATATAGTAGAGGTGTGAATACCTGGAGTTAAGAGAAAATTGGAAAAGATTGTAGAAGGTTGTATTGGAAAAGGAAAGAGATGGGTAAATTTATAGAAGTCTTCCGATACTTTTGAGAGATTCTGTTATCTTCCAGGGGAACTGGCTGCAAATGTTCACACCTAACCTGGATAGCCAACTCTGGTGGGAAAACACCCTTCATCATTCTCCAGTTAGTGGAATGGTGAACACCAAGTGACCTCTAAGATTCCTTCTGACGCTAAAAAAAATCAACAGTTCTTAGCTTACATCTTTGTTACTTTTCTTTTAAATTTATTTTTGTGGGGCGCCTGGGTGGCGCAGTCGGTTAAGCGTCCGACTTCAGCCAGGTCACGATCTCGCGGTCCGTGAGTTCGAGCCCCGCGTCGGGCTCTGGGCTGATGGCTCGGAGCCTGGAGCCTGTTTCCGATTCTGTGTCTCCCTCTCTCTCTGCCCCTCCCCCGTTCATGCTCTGTCTCTCTCTGTCCCAAAAATAAATAAACGTTGAAAAAAAAAAAATTAAAAAAAAAATTATTTTTGTTATTGGACTGATATAAGTATTAGGGTTTTGATCATTAAGTGAACACTTAATTGTTCACAATATTACTTTCACACCAAGTTTGGTTTTTTTTGTTTCCTTAAAGGCCCTCTTTCTTTCTGCCCTCCCATCCTGAACATTTTAGCTCTGAAGCTATAAGGGTTTCTGCACTGTAGACCCATGGTAGCCTGGAGTTAGGAGGCAGAGCCTAAGTGGGATTAGAAGGGTATCCATATGGCAGGGCAGCCCACCATAATGAATCATAGCCTGAGCAGGGTGAAGAGGGCTTCTGGAAGTGGGTAAGGTGGTGGGTTGGTACCTTAGGATCCAAATATATTGAGAATGCATCCAAAATGAAAAAGTGATTTCTTTTTTTTACAAATGAAACTTCAATAGTAGAATTGGAAAGAACCTTTGCCTGTTCCTCATTACTTTGAATACTGGATAGATTTGACCTATAACCAAACTCTTCTAGGTTTCCTTAAGAAACGGTGATGTTGGGGGCGCCTGGGTGGCTCAGTTGGTTAAGCGTCCGACTTCGGCTTAGGTCATGATCTCATGATTTGTGAGTTCGAGCCCCGCGTCGGGCTCTGTGCTGACAGCTCGGAGCCTGGAGCCTGCTTCGGATTCTGTGTCTCCCTCTCTGCCCCTCCCCCACTCTCACTCTCTCTCTCTCTCAAAAATAAATAAGCATTTAAAAAATAATTTTTTTAAATAAAAAAAGAAATGGTGATGTTGGCCAAATTCTTTAAATCTTGATGTTACGTTTAGTGTCAAAGGTAAAAGAATCAGAAGCATATTCATCTTCCTGCTTTTCTATTTATTGCTTGATAGATGCCACCAGTAGGATTTACACACTATGGACCAAGGCTTATTCTGGTGGAGAAGACTTCAAAATTCTCTCCAGATAGGATAGAATATTTCCTTCAGGGATACTGATATGAATTTTATCAAATTAAAACACAGACTTAGACCATATGTATAAAAATGTAGTTGATTACCCCTCATGTATGTCCTCATAATGGGCTTTCATTAATATTCCAAGTGTAAGGAAATCATCCCAGTACAAAAGATTAACTAGTGTTTCTTTTTTATATTCAGAATAACGTTTTGGAGCTGTGGTCATTATTTGATTTCCTCATGCCAGGATTTTTGGGGACTGAACGCCAGTTTGCTGCTCGATATGGTAAACCTATATTAGCAAGTAGGGATGCTCGAAGCTCTAGTCGAGAACAAGAAGCAGGTATGAAAACTATATAATTATATACTATACAAGTGAATATAACTTATTCCTATCTTTTTTGAAGCTGTTTTCTCTTACTCTTTAACAGGTGTTCTTGCAATGGATGCACTCCACCGCCAAGTCCTGCCGTTTCTTTTGAGAAGAATGAAAGAAGATGTTTTGCAGGATCTTCCACCCAAAATTATTCAAGACTACTATTGTACTCTTAGTCCTCTCCAGGTTAGAAATCCAGTGATTGTGGTTGTTGGTGGTATGTTTATTAGGAGAGTGCTTTGAATAAGCCACAAAAATATTGAATAAAGGGGATTAGACTTTGGCTTTTATCACTCCAATCTAGCTTCTACTTTGATAGACTTTAGGACTATTCTGTTCCAAAGAGAGAGAGCTAGGACCTGAATGAATCTCTTTGGACATGTGGATATACATTTGGATAAGTGCATTTGAATATGGCATTAAAACAAAAGCAAGTATCATAGTTGCTTTCTTATATGTCAAATTAATCGGAAAAGTTGCAAGGTTAATCTGATGATGAAATGAGCCAGTGTTTATAAGGGCCAGAAATCTGCCTGTAATGTCATATCTTCACAACAGCATTATAGGTATTGTCAGTCCCCATTTTTGCAAACAAAGAAAGGAAAGTTCAGAAAAATTAAGTAAGTTGCTCAAGATTATATAGCTAATATATATCAGGACTGAGTTTCAAACCTGGGAAGTGGGACCTCACCCCTCTAAAAGTATTAACTGCATTGCCAGTAAATTTTTGAAATAAGACTGAGCTTTTGCACAGATCTAATTTTGTACAGAGACTATTATCAAAGGAATTTATTGTATGCCTTTCCTTATATAGTATTTTGTAAGGGGAAACCATCCCTTGTATTAGGGAGACATGGCCTATATAATCAGAATTTTCTTTTAACCTTACGTTCTGGGTTAGTATGCATCAATCCATTTCAGTATTTTGATTTAGTATGGTAAAATGAATAAAAGATAAACAGGTACACCCAGAAACTTCTTTCTTCTCCTCCCTCTATAACTTGAGTTTAGAGCTTAGCAGCACACTAATCTAGATGCTGAGAGCTATGTGATCACTTATATTATCTATGTCATATGTCTGGGCCTCCATTTCTCATGTATAAAAATTGGACTAGTATTTTTGAAAGGAATATTTTAGGAGCAATGAGCTGAAGACTTTTTGAAGTAAATACAATAAAGAAAAGGTGCCATATGGAAAAAAAAAAATCCATGGTAGGGGTGCGTGGTTGGCTCAATCAGTAGAGCATGCAACTCTTGATCTCATGGTTGTGAGTTCACACCCCATGTTGGGTATACAGATTAAAATGAAATCTTTAAAAAAGAAAATCCATGGTATATGCCAGTGGTATAAAACATTTAAGTGGCCTGGAGGAGGAGCTGGGAGGGAAGTGACATTTGGCTTTACTTAGCATCCACAGGTTTTTATATTCTGACTTCTATTCTTTAGCACTCTAGATTTTCTTTTCTTTCATATTATTTTAGCATGTACAAGGCAGGAACCAGGACCCTTAGGTAATGTTTTAACTTTTATGAGTTCTCCTTTTAGGTAGCAGTAGTATTCTTTTACTTCTCTGTACTTTTTTTTTTTTTTAAGTTTTATTTACATAAGTAATCTATATACCCAATTTGGGGCTTGAACTCATGACCCTGTGATCAAGAGTTGCATGCTCTACTGACTGAGCCAACCAGGCACCTCAGCAGAAGTATTTTTTAAAACTTGGTCTCTTGGAATGTACCTATAGGGTACCACAAAACTTCACTTAGAGAAGATTTTCTCATTTACTTGTAAGGATTCAGGTTCTCTTTTATTGGTAATGTACTTATCTTCCTCAACAGAGTGGAAAAATTGAGTCTAGGACTATTTGACTAGTTTTTAATATTTTAGCATCCAAGCTTAATGTGCTACACTTGTTTTCTAAATGTAATTTTAAAGGAATTTACCAAGATGCAGTGGATAATTTGTAATCATTAGTGAAGCATAGGTATTATAATTTCTTTAATGAGGGCTGGTTTAAATTATTGCTCTTACTGTCATTTGCTAGCTATGTTTTTGAACAATTGAAAATAAATATACTTCTTTTGCGGGGGCAATTTTACAGGTTCAGCTCTATGAGGATTTTGCTAAGTCTCGTGCTAAGTGTGACGTTGATGAAACAGTTTCTTCAGCTGCACTCTCTGAAGAAACTGAAAAACCAAAGCTTAAAGCCACAGGCCATGTATTCCAGGTATAGATTATAATCTCTTTTTTAATTCTTCAAGAATCATGTTCTTCAGTGCAGCAATTTTTACATGGAATACTGAAATGTGGGTTTATTTAAATTTTTTTCAGTATTGTGTATACATTCTTGAAAATAGAGAAGAGAACTAATTTATTTCCATAGTTATAATTAATAAGTAATTTAATACTAAAATATACAAAATGCAATATTTTTTGTATATTGCCAGTAAAGAGTTTTAGAGAATATTTTGCTTTACATTAAAAAAAATATTGGAATGCCTGCTATAGGGCAATAACTTTTGTAAGCTCAGGGGTTAACTAAAGCAGTGGAAAAAACAGACTCCTTCCCTAGAGTATGGGGTTATGCAGTATAAGAGTTGGGTAGATTGGTTTCTAGTAGAGAGATCAGGGGCAGCCTCACTGAGAAGGTGACACCTAAGCAGAAATCTGAAGGAGGATTGAGGCATGCAGATACGTGGAGGGGAAGCGATTCCAGACAGAGGATACCAAAAGTACAGAAGTCATGAGACAGGTGCTACCTCATGTGCTCAAGGGAATTGCAAATCAAAAAGATAAAGTGTCAGCTTAGGCTTTCTGTCCCTTTTGAAATATTCCACAATAGAACCCCCCCCCCCCCACTTCCCTTGCCACCAATAAATTAAATACTGTAACATTTTTAAGACAGAAGAGGGGTAAAGGGCTTATACCTCTCCCAGTTTCTATTATCGTGTCCAGCCGTTTCTTGAGCCTTGTCAGTGGAGCTTTTTGTTTGTTTTTCATTTTTTTTAATGTTTATTTATTTTTGAGGGAGAGAGAGAAAGTGAGAGCGAGCGAGCAGGGGAGGGGCAGAGAGAGGGAGACACAGAATCCAAAGCAGGCTCCAGGCTCTGAGCTGTCAGCACAGAGCCCAATGCAGGGCTTGAACTCACGAACTGTAAGATCATGACCTGAGCCGAAGTCAGGCACTCAAGTGACTGAGCCACCCAGTGCCCCTAGAGCTTTCCAATACAAAATTCAAAACCCAAATCATAAGCCAAGTAAAAGGCAAGAGAGAAAGAATGTGGCAAAATTAGAGAAAAGAAAGAAGGACCCTATAGGGTTCTGATTCTTAAACACAACCACTTGAAATAACCACCTTGCTCTGCCTTCTCCTCTCCCTGACTTGCTGAATTAGAATACTGTGTAGGGGAGAGATATGCAGATTTATAAGGTCCTCAAGAAATTTTTCTACCCACTGAAGTTTGAGAAACCCTTAGGAAATCTTTAGGAAATGTTGCCTTATTCCAGAAGCATCTGTAAGCATTATCCCACTTTGGGCAGGAAAGAGGTCTTTCTGCCATGAGAAGTTCATTGTCTAGTGAGGGAGAGAGACACAAATTGTACATTTAATGCAATAAATGTTCTCATACACTTTACACAAGAAGCACAGATGAAGGCGTCACAGATGAGACATTGAACTGATTCATGAAGAATGAGTAGGAGGAGCAAGAAGAGGACACAGGGCATTTTCTATGGATAGAGTAGAAATAGGAAAAGTTACTAAGATATAGACATTTGTGGTATGTATGGACTTGCATATACTTTTTCCCCCCTTAAAGGCATTACAGTACTTACGTAAACTGTGCAACCATCCAGCATTAGTCCTGACACCTCAACATCCAGAGTTCAAGAGTACTACTGAAAAACTGGCAATTCAGAATTCTTCTCTTCATGATATTCAACATGCCCCTAAACTCTCAGCTTTGAAACAAGTAAGTAGGTTTCATGAATGTTCGATGTGTGTTACACATTCTTGATCTGTAACACTGTATAAATATACTTTTCCAAAATAGTACTGATGTATATGCCATTTCTTTTATTTTTTAATTTGGTTCAATTTTTGGTACAGCTTTTTTAGAAACTGTGGTAAATATGTATAGTATAATATATACCATTACTTTCTTCTAACCCCTGGTAACCTCTAGTCCACTTTATATCTGTATGAATTTACCTGTTCTAAATATTTAATGTAAGTGGAATCATACAATATTTGTACTTTTGTGACTGGCTTATTTCACTTGGTTTTCTTTTTTCAGTTTATTTTTTTTGAGAGAGTGCTTGCCTGTACGTGCATGAACAGGGGAGGGGCAGAGAGAGAAGTAGAGAATCCCAAACAAGATCCACACTATCAGTGTAGAGCCTGATGCAGGGCTTATTCTCATAAACCATGAGATCATGACCTGAGCAGAAATCAAGAGTTAGACACTTAGCTAACTGAGCCACCCAGGCACCCCTCAATTGGTTTTCAAGGTTCATTTGTGTTGTACCATGTATTAGTACTTCATTTTTATAGTTGAATAACATTCCATTATTATTATTATTATTATTATTATTATGTATATACCACATTTGTTTAGTCTTTTTTTTTTTTTTTTTTTTTTAGTTTGTTTTGAGAGAGAGAACACAAGTGGGGGAGGGATGGAGAGAAAGAGAAACAATCCCAAGTGGCAGAGTCCAGTGCGGGGCTTGAAATCATGAACTGTGAAATCATGACCTGAACCCAGATCAAGAGTTGGACACTTAACCAACTGAGCCACCCAGGCGTCCCAAATCTTGTCATGTGTTGATGGACACAATGGTTGTTTCCACCTTTTTGGCTATTGTGAATAATACTGCAGCGAACGTTGGCTTGTAAGTGTCAGTTTAAGCCCCTCTTTTTAGTTCTTTTGGATGAACTAAACCTAGGAGTGGAATTGCTGGATCATCTACCAATTCAGTGTTTAACTTTTTCAGGAACTGCCAGAATGTTTTCCACAATGGCTGTTCCATTTACATTTCCATCTGCAATATGCCATGATTCCAGTTTCTCCACATCCTAGCCAATGCGTACTTTACTATTTTTTTTATTGCAGCCATCCCAGTAGGTATGAAATGCTAGCTCATTGTTGAAAATGCCGTTTAACTTTGGATCATTTTTAAATTGTCTTTTGGTTGAATTTTAAGACGACTTTTTTTCTTTTTTTTTTAAGTTTATTTAATTATTTTGAGAGAGCGTGCATGAGCAGGGTAGGGACAGAGAGAAAGGGAGAGAACCCTAATAAGCAGGCTCCATGCTGTCAGCATGAAGCCCCACGTGGGGCTCAATCTCATGAACCATGAGGTCATGACCTGGGCCAGAATCAAGAGTTGGACACTCAACTGACTGAGCCACCCAGGTGCCCCTAAGAGTTCTTTTATATTCTAGGTATTAAGCCCTTATCAGATACATAATTTTGCAAATATTTTCCCCCATTCTGTAGATTGTTATTTGACTTTCTTTAGTAATGTGTTCCATGGTTTCTGATGAGAAATCCAATGTTGATCTTATAGAGGATCCCCTTTACATGATGAATTCACTTTTTTTCTTGCTGCTTTTCAGATTCTCTTTCGATAGTTTGATTATAATATTTGTCAATGTGTATCTCTGAGTTTTTTTGGGAGCTGCCTACTCTGCCAATTTCTTCATGTCGCTGTCTTAGTGTAGCTTTCAAAAACAGAATTTTTGAAAATTCTAAGATTTCAGAAATAAATATATCAGAAATAACTGGTTTTTAAAAGAACCAGTTGCAAGCACCAAATGTTAAAACTAACACCATTTAGTTCTAACTAGTCTTAAAAATTAAGAGCTTACTAAAAAAAAAAAAAAAAAAATTTAAGAGCTTACTGTAAAATGTGGACTTTAGTCATTGTTTTTGCTTTCTGTAGTTATTCTGGCCTAAATTTCATGAAGAATAACTAATAAATGAAGATTTTAGGTTTCACATGGGTTAGTATAGAAAATGTTATATAATGACATATATGACATCCAGGTATGTATCTTTATATCACTAAATGTAAAACACTGGATTTTTATCATAAAATGATAGAATGAGTATTGCTTTTAGATTGTCTGTAAATGGAATCGTTTTCTTATTTGGCCAAACTAATTTTGTACATAAAATGTTCATGATTTTCTTAACATAGCTGATAAAGTTATAAGATATACTTAGTCAAGGAATCAGCTAATTAGATTTCCAAAATCATTTGCATTTCATCCACACTTTAGTTATATTATAGGCTTTAAATTATTTTTAGTTTCTCTTTTTGCACATTTTTCTCTGCAGTTATTAAACTGATCTCTCATTTTAGAAGCTTATTGTCACTCTGAAGCTGAAGTGTCTGTAATTAAGATGCTTAGGAACTGTACAACTTAGGCCCAGATTGTTTCTGGCCATACTTCTAAGACTTTTGTAGAATCCATCTTTTCCATTTTCTCAGTTCTTTTCAGCCATTCGGAACAAAAGTTCTATCTGAGGGGAGAGAAAACAAGCTTGCTTTCATCTAAAATATGTCTGTTCTCTGAATTAGGGGAGAAGTCTTATTTGCTTTTTAAAAATCTGGCACTAGAAATACAGAAACCTGTATATCAGCAAGTACTAGTCCCAGAATTATCTAATAATGCCAGAATTTTTAAATTTCAGGATACTGAAATGATGAACTCAAACTGTAGGTGAAATTTAACGGAGATATGCAAAGTCAATTTTAAAAGACTTAGATACAGGGGCGCCTGGGTGGCTCAGTCAGTTCAGCATCTGACTGTGGCTCAGGACATGGTCTCACGGTTTGTGAGTTCAAGTCCCAGCAGCAGAGCCCGCTTGGGATCCTCTGTCTCCCTCTCTCTCTGCCCCTTCTCTGCTCGCACACGCACATGCAAAAATAATAAATAAAAACATTAATTGGCGAACATTTCACAGAATAAAGTTGAGTTTGATGGTAGGTTCACTGTAAACCTACTGTATGAATTAGTTGCCGGTAAATAAATCTTGTATGATCTTGGGTTGGATTAATAACAGTGGAATAATGGCCAAAATGAGGGCATCATAGATTCACTGTCTTTTGTACCAGTCACACCAAATTTTGCGTATCATTTAGAGTTCTAGGGGCGCCTGGGTGGCGCAGTCGGTTAAGCGTCCGACTTCAGCCAGGTCACGATCTCGCGGTCCGTGAGTTCGAGCCCCGCGTCAGGCTCTGGGCTGATGGCTCAGAGCCTGGAGCCTGTTTCCGTTTCTGTGTCTCCCTCTCTCTCTGCCCCTGCCCCGTTCATGCTCTGTCTCTCTCTGTCCCAAAAATAAATAAACGTTGAAAAAAAAAAAAAAATTTAGAGTTCTGGGCACTATAAGTGGAAGATCAAAAAAGAATCCAGAAACTGTTTTACCCCCAGGGTTTTCAAGCTATTCCTCACATAATTTAGCCTGTGCTGAAGTTAGGGCAAGATAAAATTAAATTGCTCTCTAGGGAGGCAGCTGGCCTCTCAGATACCCATATCAAGTGGCTCCGGTAACCATTTTCTAGAGAATAGTAATCAACTCTTCAAGGCTGCAAACTAGATTTTGTCAGAATACTTGGAGTTCATCAGTCTTCTCAGGGCAAACTCAGGTTATAAGAGATTATTGGGAAAGCCAGAATGCCATTTCTGCTGCCAGACAAGAATATTTATGCCAAATGATATATCCATACATCCAGTAGGATAGCTACCTGGAAGAAGATACTAGGAAGATTGTATGGTAAGTGTGGACTTGGAGACAAAGTCTTAGGTGGACGTTCTTAAAGTGACTGGTTGTGAGGTTTGATGTTGCTGCCTAAGGGACTAAAAGATAATTGAATGTGTGTGACACAGACATTCTGATAAATTCTCTTCAGAACTCCTCTTTTATAGAAACTATATAGAATGTTCCACTGATGATATCACATTTCTTTATACTGGGCACCACCTAGTTATACTCTCCTAAAACACCTCAGATTTTTAAAAATCAACTTAGCTTAAATGGTAATCTGATTACAGACTTAGGGGCAAGAGATAGAGGTAATTACATTTATCAGATTTCTTTATTCCATCTAGAGGAATTCCTTGGTAGTATACCATATGTATACTCTCTATCAAGGAGGGAGGAAAAGCTTAGGGCAGTCTAATTAAAATTTACAATTTAAGGGCTGCGAAGGTAGAAGAGAAAGAACATTTGTTCTTCCCCTAGGATCAAATTATGACAACACTTAAAACAATGATGACGGTACATAGGAAGTGTTGCGTACCAGTTAGGCTCATTAGAAACTCAACGCCCAAAGCTTTTATTGGGTCTGATCTGTAGACTCCCTCTGCCTAGTATGTACCAAAATTCTAGACTCCCAGAAAGAAAGCAGGTCTCAGCATAATCCTATTGTTTGCATAACAGTTTAAGCACAGTAGCCACCCTTATCAGGTAGAAAACAATGGGCAGACTCTCAAAACCCAAGTTTCAAGACTTCTTTCAGCCAAGGACAGACCTTGCAAGCTGGGCTTTCTAAGAAAAGCTTTTCCAGTCTGTTATGTTAACTTTTTTTCTGCATAATATTCTGAGAGTTTTACCTGGAACTTGGGAGTTTGCTTGGATTTTGGTTATCTTTCCCGTTTGAGCTTTTGGTTTTCTAAGTAACCTTCATTAGTAGAAAGGAGAAAGCATCCTGCGTTGAGGTCTTACATTTTGGGCAGAATTCACTCTCTTAAGGTCCTTAGGGATGAAGATTAATACTAGGCATTTTAGTTTCACAAACAGATACAAACATTGTTCTCTTGGATTTTGTTCATTTAGTTCTTTTTCTTTTTTTTTTTTTTAAGTTTATTTTGAGAGAGAGTACACACAAGTGGGGGAGGGGCAGGGAGAGAGAATCCAAAGCTGCCAGCACAGAGCCCAGTGCAGGGCTCAGACTCACAAACAGTGAGATCAAGACCTGAGCCATATTCCCGAGTCAGATGCTTAACCGGCTGAGCCACCCAGGCACATTTATTTATTGTAGCTGCTATGTGCCAAGCACTGAACAATTTAAGTAGGCAGGAAGTACAAAAGATCTATAGCAGCATGGTTCTTGCTGTTAAAGATCTTGGTTGATAATTCTTTCTTTTTTGTAATTTTGATTTCGGCCAGATTTAGCTGCATTGTTTTCTTTATACTCTGTTCTTTTATAACTTTTCATGAACTGTTTTGCTTAAGGATCATCTTTTTCAGTAAACATTTATTGAGACTCTAGTGAGCCTCAAGTAACTCAGGAAGGGGGAGAAGGACCTGTTAGAGAATCTCCTGAAGAGGTAACCAGGAGATTCTAAGCCTGAGCACCTCAAAACTAGTTCCAGAGGCTTCAGGATGACAGATTACAGCTCAGAGTGCTAATGTGCTTTCCAGGTGACACATAAGTTTAACCTTTTCTTAGCATAAGGGGAAGTATTTGTCACAGTGAGATTGATTATACTTTATTAAACACCTATATAACAACTGATTCTTTTTTTCAAGTTGCTGTTGGACTGCGGTTTGGGAAATGGCAGCACTTCAGAGAGTGGCACAGAGTCTGTTGTGGCCCAGCACAGGATACTGATCTTCTGTCAGCTTAAAAGCATGCTTGATATAGTAGAACATGATCTTCTCAAACCTCACTTACCCTCTGTCACTTATCTGAGATTAGATGGCAGCATACCTCCTGGTCAGAGGCATTCCATTGTTTCACGGTAAGTGGCTTCTAAAACTCTTAGAAATCAAGCTATAGTCGGTTATCACTGATAGAGAAGTTTGCCTCATGAAACATTGTTTGGCTAAATATCTGCACATGTGTTTTGTTACTGTATAATTCAGCCCAACTAAATCATTTTTAAAATTTAGAACTCCAAAAATATAATTGAATAGTTTTAGTTTAAAAAAAAAAAAAAAGTGTGACAGTGTTAGGGAGGCACTATGAAGGGCTTGGAAGAAATTTAAGGCATCAAGAAAAAGTAGAGACAACTACTTTCCCCCCTCACCTTTTTTCGGGAGTTAGGGTAGGAAGAAGCAAACAGATGGCTTAGCTAAGATCTCTGACTGATCCCTGTGTGTGTCTCTGCCGAGAACAAGTTGGAAGCTGGCCCAGGTAGGAAGCCGAATTGGTGAGTGTGGTATTTCTTTTATTTTTTTAAGTAGGCTCCACATCCAGCGTGGAGCCCAACACGGGGTTCAAACTCAACAACCCTGAGATCAAGACCTGAGCTGAGATCAGGAGTCAGACACTTAGCCACCTGAGACACTCAGTCACCTCCAGTGTGGTGTTTAAGTGTGGTTTGCATTCTGTGCTTTAGAAACCTCAGGGGTTGGGTTTTTAAATGCAGATTCCTAGGTTCTGTCCCAGACCTGCTGACTTCTAAGAGTGAGCATTTTTTCGTAAGCATCCTTGAGAGATTGTTAGGCACAGTAGTATTAGAAACCTACAAAGGGGCTTTGGAGGTAGGCAGACCCAGCTGTGACTCCTGACTCTAGACATGTTCTGTTGGTCATATTTATCAAAAATAAGGACAGTAATAATATCTTTATACAGCTTTTTAAACAAATACCATAATGTATATAAAGTCTAAAGCCCCACCTTTTGATTCATAGTGAGAATGTAATAAGTGGTAGCTTGGCAATAATGTTAGGTAATAATGTTTCTAGAAGCTATTAGATGTCAAAACACAATTGTAGCAAGCACCTCATTCTCTAATTTTCCTGACTGATCTAGCCTTTTCCCCAATTCTTCTCTTCTGTCTCCACATGTTAAAGGTTCATAGTTGGGTTTTGTCTTCATTAGTGTTTAATTACATTTTTGCAATTTACTCTTTATCTGGCATCCTAAAACACAACCCAGACTTATTTCTGTTTGTGAAATATCTGAAATGTTCTAGAATATATTCTTTCTACTGTTGAAGGTGTTATGTATATTTTTAAAAAATGTCCACATCATATATTTTTAAGTAAGCTTTATGCCCAGTGTGGGGTTTGAACTCAAAACCCTGAGATCAAGAGTTGTATGCTCTGCCAACTGAGCCAGGCAGGTGCACTTTTATCATAGATTTTTAAAGCAGTGTTCTCATTTGTGCTATTTAATTGTTATTTAACAGTCCAGTTTGTTATAGAAACCTTAGAAATGTATTAATTTTATTTTTTAATATCTATACTTTTAGGTTTAACAATGATCCATCCATAGATGTTCTTTTACTTACAACTCATGTTGGTGGCCTAGGGCTTAACTTAACTGGCGCTGACACGGTAGTATTTGTGGAGCACGACTGGAATCCTATGCGTGATCTACAAGCCATGGACCGGGCCCATCGCATTGGGCAGGTAAAAAGTCATCACTGACCAGTGTTCACTTCTGCACTGGGAAAAATAACCCATCCCAAAAAAGACAGGGAGCCTTGGTTTAAGTTCCTTCTCTGATGCTGAGTGTTGTGACCTTAGGCAAGTCACCTAATACTGTGCCACCACTTCCTCATGCATTAAGTAAGGTACTTGTGCTGAGGAAACCTTGGATACTGTCCATTCCTAATATTCTCTGCAAAATGATAAGATTTGAAGCTCATTAAGCCAGGTAAAGAAAGAAAACCCAACCCTAATTAGATACAAGTACTTAGTTAAGGTATGCAAGCCCCCTGACTTGGTGAACCTCAAAGTTTATCAGTTTATTTGTGCTGCAGCTGCTTAACTTCTTTTTTCATTCAGAAACGTGTGGTTAACGTATACCGATTGATAACCAGAGGAACGTTGGAAGAGAAAATAATGGGTTTGCAAAAATTTAAGATGAACATCGCGAATACTGTGATTAGCCAGGAGAATTCTAGTTTGCAGAGTATGGGGACAGATCAACTTCTTGATCTGTTTACTCTTGATAAGGTAAAGAACTTATACAAACTTATACAATTTGCTTTATCTTTAAGGTGTTCACAAACTTCTGGGACTGCCTGGTGAATGTATTAGAGTGAGTGGCAAAAGGCATTCACTTTAGTATTAAGTAGGCAACCCTTTGAGGGGATTTTTGATGTCCAGATAAAATTCTTCAGGATACTAAGGGATGTTTGAAGTTTGGACTTCCTGATGGCCATCTTTAGTGTTTTGCCTCAAGGTTTTTTTTAGCCCTTTCCTGCTAAAAGACAAGTATCACTGGAGTCAGCTAGACCTGGGTCTGTGTTTTTTGCCCTGCCTCCGATTAACTAGTGACCTTAGGCAAATTAACTTCTTCCCTCAGAGACATCTTTGCTCTTGGGAGGATAAAAATGTCTGTATCACTGCATGGTTGTGAAGGGAAAATGAAATGGTATATGTAAGCACTTAGAAAGGGTACCTAGTAGAGATTCTCAAAAATCATAGATAGCCATTATTGTTACTGTGGATGATGGAACTAATACATTGGATAACAATCCATAATCAAAGGATGCAGCAGCCAGAAGTATTATTCAGTCTAATAATGTAGAACTTAATAGGATTGGATTTAAAGTCCTGCATAGGTTCAGGAAGTCACATGTACACACAGTATAAATTATGGTGAGAAGTGGCCTTATATAATCAAACTAGCTTTAATAACAGAATTGTAATGTTCAAATATGAAAGAAAATAGTTCCATTACAGCTCACATTTAGAATATTATGTCTGGTGCTAAGTGCTACATTTTAAACAGTAATTAATTAAGTCCTCAAGAGATAGCCAGATGGAGGCAGGTTCTTCAGTCATGTCATGTGAGTAAGGTTGAACAAGATATGTATAACCTAGAAAAGAGAAGGCTCAAAGAAACCTAGATTGCTATTTTTTTTTTTAACGTTTGCTTATTTTTGAGAGAGTTGGAGAGGGTCAGAGAGAAAGGGAGACAGAGGATCCAAAGCAGTCTCTGCGCTATCAGTGCAGGGCTCGAACTCACCAACAGTGAGATTATGACCTGAGCCCAAGTCAGACAGTTAACCGACTGAGTCCCCCGGGTGCCCCTGGATTGCTATTTTCAAATAGTTTTTATTCTGTTTGAAAGAATATTCTTATGGGTGAATTTCAGCGAGCAGAACTGTGCTTAGTGGATGTTCTAGGGAAGCAAAAGCTATTACCATAAAGGATCCTATTGTGACATTTGGCAAAATTTGAACATGGACTATATCACATAGGTGTTAAGTTCCCTTAATTTGATCATTATACTTTGGTTATGTCAGAGAACATCCTTATTCTTAAAAATACAGGTTGATTTTGGGGCACCTGGGCGGCTAGTTGGTTAAGTATCTGACTTTGGCTCAGGTCATGATCTTGCAGTTCTTGAGTTTGAGCCCTACGTCAGGCTCTGCTGACAGCTCAGAGCCTGGAGCCAGCTTCAGATTCTGTGTCTCCCTCTCTCTCTCAAAAATAAATAAACATTAAAAAAAAAAAAAAAAGAATACAGGCTAAATCCTATCTAGGATAAAAAGGCATAATATCCACAACTTAAATGCTGATAATTTATATATTTAATATATACATATACAATTAATGAGGTCTTTGGAATGTTCTTATAATTCTTCTATAATCTTGAAATTCTTCCTAAATAAAAAGCTTAAAATAAAATTGTTAGGAGATCATGAACTTGCACATTGCTTGAAGTGTTTAATTCTAATGAATGAGTGCAATGTTAGGAACTATAATTTCTGAAGTTAATAATCTTTCACTTTATCTTTCTGCCAATTTTTTTTAAGGATGGCAAAGCAGAAAAGGCCGACACCTCTACTTCTGGAAAAGCAAGTATGAAATCAGTCCTTGAAAACCTGAGTGATCTTTGGGATCAAGAGCAATATGATTCAGAGTACAGCCTGGAAAATTTTATGCATTCTCTCAAGTAACTATCAAATATTGTAAATGCAATTGCTGCTAGTTCAGTTACATTTCTGCTGATATTCAGCAAATTTCAAAGTTTATGGTGAACTTTTAGCTCAATGTGTAAATAGATCTGAAGAATATTCAGCATAACGCTGGTTCTTGTTTCACTGGGGGGAACAAGTTATTCTCAAATATTTGCACTGTATTAAATTTAAATGTTAATGTGAAATGGTTTAAATTTTACGTGCTGAATAGCTGCAGAGCAGAGGAACCAAACCAGGTTTACATGTGCTACCATGAGGTGTTCTTACTGGGAACGAGCCTCCTGTCTTTACATAGTCCCTTTGTGCAGGATAATATCCATGAGTACTTTAGTGTTCATGTACATTTTTTCTTTTAAATAGAACTTGTTTTTATAAATGATTAAAAATAGGGCTTTTTTTTTTTTGTATAAAAGCCTTAATGAGCCATAATTTTAAGAATAATGACTACAATATTGGTCACTCTTGGAACATGAAAATCTTAGACAATGAATTGAACCTGGCCCTTGGTGGAAACCTTTATATATTTAATGCAGATGCATAGTGTTTTTCAAATCTTTAACATCATTTTGTCAACTTTTAAAATATATCAACTATTCTAAATACAGGTAATGGTCTATTTAAGGCTATCATAACATCCTATTAAGAGGGTGTTTTTTAATTTATCTAATGGCTAGGATATAGCCCAATTCAGAGAACATATGTACTCAATAGGTTTCAATCATATATATATATAATATATTTTTTGTAACTATGAACATATACAGTTTTCCAGAAGTAGATTTTACACTGTTTAGAATTCCAAACCTATGGTGAAAAGACTGTTTATTGTAGTAATGCATGACTGAAGCATAAAAGGGAGAAATAAATCCTTTATATACACAAACATACATAAATACACATATCTATATGCACAGGTGTACCTATCCTGCATCCTACAAGGTGCTTGGTATTGGCACTAAAATCATGTAGATATAATGGGCAGCAATAATAATTGGGCATGAAGATGATTAGTGTTAGAAAAGTGAGCCTCAATGGTGAGGGTGGGTATATGTGTATAGATATGCATGTATGTGTATGTATATAATTTTATAAATTTCACACATAAATTAATACATGCCTGTGTGCATATATATGTATGGGATATATTTGTATATACATGTACAGGTAATAAACATCCCCAAGGTTTGTGGCTGGCCATACACATAGGCATCGGTTTATAAACCATCAGACCTCAGCTGTAAAATAACAACTTTTTTGTTTAAAATCATTAAAGTTATACTGTTCTGCAGCATTTAGACATGGACATTTGTCACATTTCAGTAGCTTTGACAACCATACTATAACATTAAATCTAGCATTCCATGGAGAATAAAAAATAAGATTGAAACTGTAAAATATATGCACTGTGTGTTATTTGTAGGAAATATCACTAGAAGAAGAAAAAGAAATTACTAGTTCACATATAAAAGTTTTAAAAATCTCAACACTTTCCTTACTAAATGGTTATTTCTCCATTGTTTAGGATTTAAATTCAGATTGTAGAAGAGCAAGAGGAAACTCTTATCTAGAACATCCATTGTACCTAGCACTGGGTAGCTTGAACAAGTCTACCTGAGTTTAATTTTTATTATTATTTGCTGTTTCCATAAGTCAGCTATTTAACATAGCTCATAGTAACTGATGTTTTCTAAGACTACATAGGCAGCAATATATAGACAGGAAGGGGCACACCATAAAAGTTAAAGGTCTTTTTCCAGTTTGAAAGGTCAGATAGGCTGGAAGTTAGAATTATATTTTGTTTTGGTCATTTTCATCTCACAGTTTTTTTAAGTTTATTTGAGAGAGCAAGGTGTGAGTGGAAGAGGGGCAGAGAGAGGATCCCAAGGAGGCTCCACGCTGTCAGTGCAAAGCCCAATGCAGGGCTCCATCTCAGGAACCGTGAGATCATGACCCAAGCCAAGATCAAGAGTCAGATGATTAACCGACTAAGCCACCCAGGTACCCCAAGAGTAAAATGTTTCTAGAAGCCCAGGCAGGAAAATGATAAATGATTATCTCTCAGTGGAAAAAGAAGGGTCGGAGGTCAGAGGAAGACTTAGTGTGACTATAACATTAAAAAAATAACCATTTGAATTAAAATTAAATCATACATTCCAGCTTTCCAAATAAAAACACAAACAGGTAAGAAGTGTTTTCAATCAAGTGATCCATTTAAAGTCACAGTAGTATAGCTGAAGAGTAATGGATACATAGGGAAAACTGAACTGAGTAGTGAGTGATTAAAGATTTTTACAGCTGTTAATTTTGTGGAGTTATAAGGATGTGGTAGTTAACATTTTTTAAAAAGTGTGCATGTGGGAACAAAAGCATAAAAGAATGTTGATAATATTTTAAGCTGAGTAATGGGTTCATGGATAGCCATTGTACTAGTTCCCTTTTTGTGTGTCTATTTTTAACTTGAAATTTTCGATAATTATCAGTCATCAGTTTTTCCTTTATGAAAAGCTTACATTTTTAGCACTAAAGAAACATTAAAATTTGGGGTTCTGGATATAATTTTTGTTTACGTATCCACAAAAATTTCTCCAAAAATTATTCTAGTCTTTCAACAAGAGCCTATAATGTAACAAGAGTGAAAGTCTCTGATGTTGAGACTGAATGAACCAGTAAAGTATAGCCTTATTCCTTCTGGATTGTCATATAAGCTTATTCAAAAGTAAACACTTCTAATACCACATATAAAGTTTTATAAAATATTCTAAAAAGTGAAGCTGTTTGAGAACACAACCACTTAGAGGCAAAAGTGGTGTAACTATAAGAGTGTAATAGAAATTATAGAAAAGCAGCTACTGTTCCATTACATATCGGTTACAGATATTTAATCCTAATTGTATATGTCCTAATTAAGGATAGACCTCAATTTCCTAGAATACACACTGGCATTGGTGTAATCTAAAGTGAAATTGATTGCAGGAACATCTATTATCAAGTGCCCAAGCACTCCATGTCAATCTATAAAGCAAAAAGTTGAGTTCTGCCAGTTAATACAAAATGTTTGCTATTCACACAAATCAGTGTTAGTCCTCATCTCTAAGATGACAAAAATTGCCTCCTACTTCAAGAAAGACTTCCTATAGAAATTAAAACCACAATAAGATACCACCTCACACCAGTCAGAATGACTAACATTAACAACTCCGGCAACAACAGATGCTGGAGAGGATGCGGAGAAAGAGGATCTCTTTTGCATTGTTGGTGGGAATACAAGCTGGTGCAGCCACTCTGGAAAACAGTATGCAGGTTCCTCAAAAAACTAAAAATACAACTACCCTACAACCCAGCAATTGTACTACTGGGTATTTATCCAAGGGATACAGGTATGCTGTTTCGAAGGGGCACATGCACCCCCATGTTTATAGCAGCACTATCAACAATAGCCAGAGTATGGAAAGAGCCCAAATGTCCTCTGATGGATGAATGGATAAAGAAGATGTGGTGTGTGTGTATGTGTATATATACACATTGCCATTCGCAACTCCGTGGATGGAACTAGAGGGTATTATGCTACGTGAAATTAGCCAGAGAAAGACAAATGTCATATGACTTCACACATATGAGGAATTTAAGATACAAAACAGATGAACATAAGGGAAGGGAAGCAAAAATAATAAAAACAAGGAGGGGGACAAACAGAAGAGACTCTTAAATACAGAGAATAAACTGAGGGTTGCTGGTGACAGCTCAGAGCCTGGAGCCTGCTTCAGATTCTGTGCCTCCCTCCCTCCCTCTCTCTCCCTCCCCCCACTCATACTGTCTCTCAAAAATGCAGATTTTTTAAAATATTAAAAAAAAATGTAATGAGATCCTCAGACTGAAAAGTTTGAGAATTACTGCTATGTGGCATATCTAAAGTTAAGAAATGTAAAATTCTGGAAACAATTTCAATTAAGGCCAATTAAAATACATGGGCACCTAAGTGGCTCACTTTGTTGAGCATCCAACTTTGGCTCATAATCTCATGGTTTGTGGGTCCGAGCTCCACAATGGGCTCTGTGCTGGCAGTGTGGAGCCTGCTTTGGATTCTCTGTCTCTCCGTCTGTCTGCCCCTTCCCCACTCATGCTTTCAAAAAAATAAGCCTGAAAAAAAATTTTAATCATTCCATGCACGAGAGAGGAGCAGAGAGGGGACACAGGATCCAAAGCGGCCTCTGTGCTGATAAAGGTCTTTTTCCAGTTTGAAAGGTCAGATAGGCTGGAAGTCAAACTCAGGAAGGTCAAACTCAGGAACCATGAGACCATGACCGAAGTCGAATGCTTAAATGACTGGCCACCCAGGTGCTCCCCCACCCCCAATTTTTTTTTTTTTTTTTTTTTTTTTTTTTTTTTTTTTTTTTTGAGACTAGTCTTGGGGCACCTGGGTGGCTCAGTTGGTTAGGTGTCTGACTTCAGCTCAGGTCATGATCTCGTAGTCCGTGGGTTCAAGCCCCATGTCGGGCTCTGTGCTGACAGCTTGGAGCCTAGAGCTTGCTTCATGTTCTGTGTCTCCCTCTCTCTCTGACCCTTCCCAGCTCATGCTCTGGCTCTCCAAAAAAAAAAAAAAAGACTAATCTTAACAACCATAAAGTAATATGATTAATATAAAAAGGGCAAATTTGAAAAAGATCCAATAAATGAAAAATAGTTATTGCGGCACCTGGATGGCTCAGTGAGAAGGACATTCTAGGACTCTGACTTCGAGGGAAGTTGAACCCATTAGGTGTAAGGTATTAATGTTTTGTTTTGTTTTTAGTGTTTATTTTTGAGAGAGAGCATGAGCGGGGCAGAGAGGGAGACACAGAATGCAAAGCAGGGTTCAGGCTCCAAGGTGTCAGCACAGAGCCTGATGCAGGGCTCAGACTCATGAACTGTAAGATCATGACCTGAGCTGAAGTCGAACACTTAACTGACTGAGCCACCCAGGCACCCCAAAATCAAATCTT